TCCGAGAAGTGTCTTCCGTCGATCAAAACGTTGTCGATTTGCGATTCTGTCGGCTGCGGTGATCTCCAGGTGTACCGATATGGGAGGCTATGCTGGAAGAATATACTATGTCCATGTCCATGTTCTAAGAGGTGGCGAAATCGATAAGTCTAAAGCCGTTCCCGTTCGTCAGCTGGTGGGCGCTGAACTTTCCTATAACCGGGCTGAATTCCTCCTCCTGGCCGACCTGAGCGTTAAGATCACCGATGACGATTTTGACGTCATGGCTTGGGCAGCTGTCGTATTCCCGTTCCAGCTGCGCGTAAAAAGCGTCTTTATCGTCATCGCCACTTGCTAAGTGAGGACTGTGCACGTTGATTATACTGACATTGAAGAAACGGCCTTTGATCCTCAGCGTGAAGTTCAGCTAAATCAAACGTACTTTTGAACTTTTCAGTCTCTGAGCACATAATTTTACATGACATGTTTGTTTGCGTCTCATCCTTTATGTCAAAGATGGATTCCGTCACGTGTAAGATTAGGTATTTCTAAGTGTGTATGTACCGACCATCTCTTCCAGCAAACCTCCTGCAGCGCTACGATGTCGAACTTGCGGACCCTCAATAAATCGGAAAGAATGCGGGTACTTCCCAAGAAATTCAGAGACTTGCAGTTCCATGTTCCGAGTTTCCAATCGTTAGTCCGTTTCCGTTGCTTGGGTCTATGCCGATTGTTCCGGTCCGGTGTTATTTTTTAACGACTGGCTCGTAGGGCCTGCACCAACCCCCATTGTCTCGCCGGGGGACCATCGCACACAGCACTGTTTAGAGTCCCAAGCTGGCACCAGGACGTTGATCACCCGCTCCTAACATGGAAAACAGACGCCGTTTTGAGCCGCACCTCCATGGTGAACAGACGCTCGAAGACTGCACTCTCCGGAGAGAGGAGTCCCCCCTCCCCCCTTCCCTGTCAGCATACGACCAAAGTCCCACCGGGGTTGGCTATCCGATCTTCCCTATGGTTACTCGTACCCCAGCCGGCACCGCGGGGAGGTAGGGATAGGAGTTACTGGACAAGAGGCTAAGAACCGCTAGTGGGGTCTATTTTATACCTGCAGATACGCGAAGTATCAATGATACGCATTTTCCAGCCGTTTACCAGCCTATACAGTAATAGCAAATGTGTAGAAGTAAACATTCGAATTCACTTCCACTGAAAAAGTGGCATCTGTTGCAATATAACACTTTAGATCATGTTCCATTTGGATTTGTTTATATCTTCAAAAATTTTGCACAGGTGCCCATTGGCAAATCAAAGTTGACACTCGTGGAGGATAGAAGAAGTATCAATGGTACGCATTATCCAGCCGTTTACCAGCCTATAAAGTAATAAACAGCAAATGTGTAGAAGTAAACAATATTCATAGCTATGTATGTCTAGTCGCAATGCTTTGTTTGCCCTGAACATTCGACTTCACTTCCACTGAAAAAGTGGCATCTGTTGCAATATAACTCTTTAGATCATGTTCCATTTGGATTTGTTTATATCTTCAAAAATTTTGCAAATCAAAGTTGACACTCGTGGAGGATAGAAGAACTATGAAAGTGATGATGATGATTTCAAAATTTTCCACGGGGAGGTATACAAGTGCAATATTAAAATGCTTCTATTTTGCAAATGGAACATTTTATTGAAATCTGGTTGCTGCTACAGTGGTAGAAAAGCTAAAATATATGTATACATCTAAATATCTGAAAAGAAATTATTTTTTCTATATTATATGTCTGTTGGGTAGTCCTTAAGTTTTCTACTAACGTAGCACTAACCACATTTAAATAAAATGCTCCGTTTGCAAAATAAAAGCATTCTAAGATTGCACTCGTATACATAACCGTGTAAAATTTTGAAACCATCATCACTCTCATAGTTCTTCTATTCTCCACGAGTGCCAAGTTTGATTTGCCAATAGGCCTAATGCACCACCAACGTAGAAGGCGCCACGTGGGTTCGAGAGGAAACGTCCACCAAACCGTTTGTTTACATCAGAATAAGGATTTTTCACAACGCAAATTACATTATTTTTCATTGAACATCTTGCCAATTTCCATCGGTAATTGTCTTATTTTACGATTTTCAACTGATCGGAACTGATTTTTACCTAAACTATTCACACATAAGAAATCCGGAAGATAATAAAGGCACTATTTTAATTTTCCATTTTATTCAACAAAAATATTCCTAAACACCAGCTGGATCCTTTCAAAAAAATTTTCAACTGTAGGTCAAGTTTTGGTGCATCTCAGATGAATCAATTTATCAGGAAAAGTGAAAAAGTGTTCCGATAGGCGAATTCAATACGCCTTTTTAATGCACCACCAATGTAGAGTGCGCCACGCGAGTTCGAGAAGAAACGTCAACTAAACCGTTTGTTTACATCAGAATAAGTATTTTCCCCAACACAAATAACAGCATTTTTCATTCACAATCTTGCCAATTTCCATCGGCAATTGTCTTATTGTAAGATTTTCCACAAATCTGAACTGATTTGCACCTTAACTATTCACACACAAGAAATCCGGAAGATCATAACCACTAAGGCACTTTTCTAATTTTTCATTTTTCTCAATAAAAATATTCCTGAACACCAGCAGGATCTTCTCCAAAACGTGACAGAATTAAATTTTTCAACTGTTCATTAAGTTTTGCAGCATCTCAGATGAATCAATTTATCAGGAAAAGTAAAAAAGTGTTCCACTTCCTATGTCTCAAGGCAAAAATTTATGCTCAACACTCTTTTTGACGTTCTCCTATTCACCACCAGAGGTTGAATCGATCGTTTAGTTTCTATTAAAAAGGCCTATAGAAACTAAGCGATTGTTTCAGCCTTTGGCGGTGAATAGCGTAACCCTCAAAAGAGTGATGAGGGTCGAAATTTTCACCGTGAAGCATTGGAAGAGGAAAATATTTTCAGCTTTCCTGATAAATTTATCCACCGCAGGTGCATGAAATCATCATCATTTTTGATGAGAAAAATTAAGATTTATAAAATTGTTTCATCGGTTATGATCTTCCGGATTTTTAATGTGTGGTTATTTTAGCTGCAAATCAGTTAAGATCTGTAGATAAACGAAAAATAAGACCACTCCCGATGGAAATTTGCAAGTTGTACTATAAAATGTACATTATTTAGAGTTTTGAAAATCGTCATTATGATGTTAACAAATGGATTGGATGACATTTCCTCTCAAAATCGGCTAGCGCTCTCTACATTGATGCTGCATGAAAAGAGCCTATACTTACCTTACCTTACCTTACCTTACCAATCAGGCTAAGGCCTTGTTGTCCTCTGCTGTCCGAAGAAGTCGTCTCCACTCTACTCGATCCATGGCCACAGTTCGCCAGCCTCGTAGTCTGCGAAGGGTCCGCAGGTCACCTTCTACTTGGTCGATCCACCTTGCCCGCTGCGCGCCTCTTCTTCTTGTTCCTGTTGGGTCGCTTTCTAGAACCATTTTCACTGGGTCATCGTGCGGCATTCTTACGACGTGCCCAGCCCACCGTAGTCGCCCAATTTTTGCAATGTGGACGATGGATGGTTCTCCCAGCAGCTGGTGCAATTCGTGGTTCATTCGCCTCCTCCACGTTCCGTCATCCATCTGCACTCCACCGTAGATGGTACGCAACACCTTCCGTTCGAAAACACCAAGGGCGCGTTGGTCCTCCACGAGCATAGTCCAGGTCTCGTGGCCGTAAAGGACCACCGGTCTAATCAGCGTCTTGTAGACAGTCAACTTCGTGCGGCGGCGAATTTTATTCGACCGGAGCGTCCTCCGGAGTCCAAAGTAGGCACGATTCCCTGCCATAATGCGTCTTTGAATTTCTCTGCTGGTATCATTTTCGGCGGTCACCAGTGAGCCCAAATACACGAACTCATCGACCACCTCGATTTCGTCACCGTCAATCTGAACTCGGGGTGGGAGGCTAACATTGTCTTCCCTAGAACCTCTTGCTTTCATATATTTTGTCTTTGATGCGTTGATGGCAAGTCCAATCCGTCTAGCTTCAGCCTTCAGTCTGATGTACGTTTCCGCCATCATCTCAAAGTTCCGTGCCATAATGTCAATGTCATCGGCGAAACCAAGGAGCTGGATGGACTTCCTGAATATCGTGCCACTCGTGTCTATCCCAGCTCTTCTGATCACACCTTCTAACGCGATGTTGAAAAGAGCCTATACGCCTTTTTAATAGAAACTAAATGATCGATTTAGCCTCTGGTGGTGAATAAAAGAACTTCTAAAAGCGTGCTGTGAGCAGAAATTTCCACCGTTAGACATAGGAAGCGGAACACTTTTTCACTATTCCTGATAAATTGATTCATCTGAGTTGCTCCAAAACTTGATCTACAGTTGAAAAATTTAATTCTGTATCGTTTCTGTAAGGATCCTGCTGGTGTTCAGGAATATTTTTGTTAAGAAAAATGGAAAATTTGAATAATGCCTTAGTGGTTATGATCTTCCGGATTTCTTGTACGTGAATAGTTGAGGTACAAATCAGTTCAAATCTGTGGAAAATCGTAAAATAAGACAATTACTGATGGAAATTGGCAAGATGTTTAATAAAAAAAAGTTTAAAATCCCGTTGTGAAAAATCCTTATTCTGATGTAAACAAACAGTTTGGTTGACATTTCCTCTCGAACTCGCGTGGTGCACTCTACGTTGATGATGCATTAAAAAGGCCTATTCCTATGTCTCACTGCAAAAAATTCTGCTCACAACACTCTTTTTGACGTTCTCGTATTCACCACCAGAGGTTGAAACGATCGCTTAGTTTCTATTAAAAAGGCATATATTGACAATTGAAAACAGGCATAGGTCTCCACTGAACACGCCTTTGTTATTTTTCTTTCGCCACGCCGGTCGTGGCGGCAACCCCAGTTGATGTGTTCAGGAAACAAAAAAAGCATAAATACTGATTTATCTTGCAACACGTACTATTAATTAGTTCTAGCACTATCATTAATTGTATGAATGCACCCACCTACATCGTATGCGAGGGTAACTACCCGTTCACGACTTCTACACTCAACCCCTTCGGACTGAGAGAGGGAGAGCGACTGGGTAATGTCTTTTCCGTATCTCAAATACCTGTACAACCTTTTCATCCGAGGAAATATGCACGATTTATGCTCCGGAATAAATCGCACCGACCTCAACCAGCACCTCCCCCTCCCCCTCCACCCAGTGTTGCAATATCTGCTTATCGTCTAAACGAGACATTGACTAATTACCCCTTATTCCTCAGCTGACCGTGCGTGCCATGACTAATTTACTAAGAGAAATTTCCCTTTACCCTCTTCATCTTCCAGAACCTCCTCGCCGAGTTGCGAGCGCTGAAAGAGGCTAACCAGCGGCTGAGTGATGACAACCAGGAGCTGCGAGATCTATGCTGCTTCTTGGACGACGATCGGCAGAAGGGACGGAAGTTGGCACGCGAATGGCAGAGGTTCGGTCGGTACACTGCCAGCGTGATGCGGCAGGAGGTGTCCGCCTATCAGGTGTGTGGCATATCTTTTTTTTTTTTTTTGAGTAACGTGAGCTCAATTTTTCAATGCGATCATTTTCCTTCTTTTAGACCAAACTGCGGCAGCTGGACGACAAGCAACAGGAACTGATCCGGGATAATCTGGAACTGAAGGAACTGTGCCTCTATCTGGACGAGGAACGATCGAATACCAATCGACCGGCGGGGGTGTGCGGTAGCTGTGGAGCCGCGCCCGGCAGTACGACGACGAATGCTGTTCCTCTCCGGGACGACGGAGACGGAAGCAGCTCCAGTACGAATGCCGACGAGAATATTCACCAGCTCGGAGGAGGGCAGTTCGGAAGGAATGGATTGACGGTGAGTGGATATCACATTTATCCTAAAATCACATTTTTTCTAATTTTTCAAAGAAAATTCACGTGTAAAAACATTTTTTATACTTCATCATGGCATGAAGTTGGACTCAAAAAACCACAAAACATCGACTTTTCGGTTTTGCTGAAAATCCATTTTTTCTTCATGATGAGATAGCAAAACTATTTTTACATGTAAATTTTCCCAGGAATCTATGGAAAAAAAACTGATTTTCTTGGATTTTTGATAATTTTCCCCAATACTTAAGAAAAATAAAAAAGTGTCGGAACAAAAATTCGGTAAACTTTCCCTTAATACCTGACTGGAAGGTTTCGTGGAAAAATTGTGGTTTTTCCGTACTTTCGGTAATATGGTTTAAGGTGAGCGAGAATGATAAATAGAGTAAAATATGAGTCATTCCAACTCAAGTGGGTACACCACCTGTGGTCGATGTCATTGATTTGAGCCAAACTTAGCCAAAACGCTTATTTTCTCATTCGGAGCAAACGCCTTTTTTGATTTAGCTCTGAAGTGCCTAGATCCCTCTCGGCTACAACCCTGGATTTTCGAGATTTTTAAAAAATGTCATCTTTCAGAAGAGATTACTCCACAACCAAATAAGCTATTCGTGATCTTAGAACGTCAATTTGAAGGTTTTTTAATGTAGATTCTTATAGGTGTACTCACATTTTGTTTTTGTTAAAGTAACTACAGTAGAAAGACTGTTTACCGGCAGGTATACAAATTGTAAAAAAATTGCCTGATTTCACCATGAGCGGGATTTTTTATTTCTTAATATTTTGGGCTCAAATTTTCACCACACTTTGGAAAACTCTTCTACTAGATATGTTTCCAAAGGCAAATGATTTGGACAAATAGTTTTTGAGATATGAGCAGATGAGTGAGTGGTAGTTTTGAGCTTTTCTGGTGGAAAATTAATTCCCACTCTTAGGCGAATAAACTCACGCATGAGATTTGAGTTATTGAGCTTTTCCGAACACTGAGTGTCATAAAAGTGCACGTTTTCGTCAATTCGTTTTGGTGTCTTCGGAGCAATTATTGTCTTCCGAAGACACCAAAACGATTAGACGGACAGTCGAACTTTCTTCATATTTATTATTACATATCTGAAAACGCGCTTATCAGTCCAGTTTGGTGTGAAATGCGCAATCTATTTCATCACTTTAATAGCATCAATATTTATTGTGACCTGTTACCTAAGTATAAACCTAATGATAAGTTATCAGATTATCAGTCTATCTTAGCAATTTCTAGCAAACATTAATGAAAGCTTTGCATCTTGTCACCGGAATGTGTCGGAGAAAACCGTTAAGCACAACCTTCATTACTTTTGAAATCTGCATGGTATATAACTGAATCCTTCAACTCGCAACTCAATCAATGCCTTAAGTATCCGCGGATCACCCTTTTATAGCCATAGATCTTCTTCTTCTTCTTCTTCTTCTTCTTCTTCTTCTTCTTAATTAATTTATTTAGCGACGGTCTCTGTTCCGCAATCTAGTGTCAATCACCGACCTGCGTAGGATATCGCACCCATCACCACACACATTGGGCGGGACCAATGGCCTTACTTCTGTTGGGAACGATGATAAGTGGACTATATTTTTTCGATAGGTAACTGTTTCCCGGATAGATGAAGGGAGATTTGGTTTTCTCTCGCGCAAATCGAAACACTTAATTTTTATCGAAACATTCAACACCGTTTATTCTCGGAACACTTTTTTACTCGGGACAATTAGTTTAACGTTTACTGTAGTTTTCTTTACCAAGTATATTTGAGCGAGTTTTTATAAGCAAAAAGCTCCAGAATGTTAATTTCCCTAGCTTATATAGGTTGGGTTAGTGGGAAATTACTAGCCTTTTCTCTGTCTAATCGTATACTCATCTTTATTCCGCGTAACTCGTCTAATTTTGATTAGTCATATTCGATGTTCTTCATCAGTGGTCGTCAATGGATGTTGCTACGCTGGAAATAGGTCGACTCGCTCGGGACTAGTTGATTGCGTCTCGTACAACTTCCCTTCCGACTTGGCCAGAGTTTTGTATGCCTCAGAAAAATTCCACCGACCTCGGTAGGAATTGAACCCAGACCCATTGGGGTAAGAAGCAGTCACACCACCACACCACCAGCAATAGACAGCCAAGACGAGTAAACACATAACGCCGGTGGGGTAGTGGTAAGCGTGATTACCTCTCACCCCAGCAGGCCTGGGTTCAATCCCAGTCGGCGCCGCCGGGATTTTCTGAGCCATAAAATCTCTGATCAAATCTGAAGGGAAGTAAAGCAAATGTGCGTCTTCAGCTAAGTTTGTGGAAATGATGATTTCTACAATTTTGTAGAACATTTAAATATCGAAAATCGTCAGTCAAAAAAGTTAGAATTTTCAAGTTGCGTCGCAATGAGCATAATTTATGGACGACTCCTTCAAAAGATACGCCTTCTTTCATCTAAGAGCTTCTCCGTAGACACCAAATTGATTAAACTTATTCTTACACACACTTTTTATTTTTTTCTTCTGGAAATTCGGCCTTCTGGACCACTGTGCATTGATTTCTTGGATCACTCAAAACCTGTAGGTGGATTGATACACTTAAAAAATAATAATAGAACCTACCTAAAGTTCAATTAATAGCACTGATAAAAATAATTTCAATTGTTTTGCACGTGAAAACTTCTCTAACAATAATTCTAATTCAATTCAATATTCCCCTTATCCACCATTTCAGGAACTCAACCTGCGCTCCGCGCTGAGTGACCAAACCCTGCAGTACGTCCGGTCACTAGAATCTCGAATACGACAGCTGGAAGAGGAACGATGCGCCATCCTCAAAAACGTCCAACCAATCGGCCCCAGCAACGGAACGGGACCTCCGGTAACGAACAACAAGCCGGTTGCCAATGTACAACCGCCACCCCCACTGCCACCACCGTCCTCCAATTCAGACCCCATATCCGGCCGACCGGAAGCCGTCGTCCGGGCACTTCAGGTGCTTGAAGTACGCGAACAGCTCGAACGGGAACGAATTGGCCCCAACATACCAACCGACCATCAGCTAGACGATGGCGAAAAAGCTCTGGTCCGCGAGATGTGCAATGTGGTGTGGCGAAAGCTGGAGGATGCCCCCAACACAGGAATCGATCAGCACGTCTGATGCTCGCCAGTCCAGTATCGAGCGAGAAGGATTAGCATGACTCGGCGGAATTCCATCCCGCTGGCGCTGGAAGCCCAACGATAAAAAAAACATCAACAACAAGAGCACATGGAGGCTTTTTTTTGTGTGTGTGGCCGAACCGGGTGACGGACGGCTTTAAGGTTTACTCTTGCACACTTCTTCCTCTTCTACCTACTACGATGATGTACAAATTAATTATAATGATGCTTCAGAAAATAGAAAAAAAAGAGCTATTGCCACAGATCGGGCTGGCGGTCGCGCGCCTCTTCTCAAAAGAGTAAACGAGGGCAGACATTATTGAAAAGGATTGTACAGAACACTTCAAACAGTGCACAGCAAAAAGTAGACATAACGCAAAATAATAGAAGTAAAAAACATCTTATCCCCAAAAAAGGAGCGGATCGAAATGTGCGTTTGTATGTGGACTTTAAAGAGGTTTCTGAAACCTCGCGCGGGAAAGGGCAGTTTACTACTACTATACAGGAGAACATAACCTATTCAATTAAAGTTAACAAAGTATTTATCATCGTTTATCGTTATATTTATACCCGGATCCACAGGACGGGGAGAAGTGTAATTAGGGGGAAGAAGCGGGAATTAAGGATGCAGAAGGAGAAGATGAAGAAGATGAATAAACTAGTTCTTTTTCAGCGATTATGCTTTTCAAGGCGATTTGTAATTGCTCGGGGTTATTTTTGTGAATGTATAAAATGATGTTTGGGGGGGCCTTATGTAAAGAAACACTAATACCTTGAGAAATCTGTCGAGATTTACTTTTGTAGAAATGTGAGCGGCAAGTAATAACTTGGGTAGGTTTTATAATGCAGCAGCAGGAAGAAAATCGGACAATATTTCAGCGCTATGTATCTGTGTATCCTAGGATTTCTTGTTAGAGGTTGTTTTTATATACATAATTTTTATCATTATTAAAAGGTTGTTATTCTTAATTGATTCATTTTGTTATTGGAAAGAAAGCGACCGTGATCACTATACAAGTTTAGATATAATTATTTCTATTCGAGTTCAGTTGCAACGCATCATACACGACCGTTGATTCGGCTTAAATTTCCTCTTAGTCAAATTCGCAAAACAGATTAAAACTTTCTTCGATTTTCCTTAAATCTCTGCGTGACTATGAGGAAAATTGAGAATTTTTTTACTTAGTCTACAGTCTAAAAATTGAATCGAATTTGACTCAAAATTGCAAAAAGTGGGGTTACTCAATGAATGAGTCAATTTTTTTTCTCGATTTTAAAGGAAACATTTCTTGAAAATGAGGAAAACTGCCCTGTATGGCATAACATTCCCAGTAGCATTATTGGCGAAGAAGAGTTACACATTGGAAAATTTTGTTCAATTTAGACGTAGTAACAATAGACTGAGTTAATCTAATCTTTACTTTTCTCATATTCGGGAATTTTTCCTGGAAAAACTTGGAAAAACTCAGGAAAATTTACTCAGCGTTGAGTTTCGGCACTTTTTGCGGTCTATGAGTAAATTGAACTATATTTTGGGTTGATTTCATTGGCCGTGTACACGAAAAGTTTCTTACTTTGTTCAGAGAATGTTGTGAAAAATACCAAAACTATTTTGTCGCATACATAAGAGCCCATGGAGAGAAAAATCTTCAATAGCGTTGTTCTCAGCTTGCTGTTTAAACGAATGAGACAACTATGCTGAAAATCCTAGACTGAGTAAAATTTTAGTCGATTTTCCTCATATTCAAGCAGTTTTTCCCGGAACAGTGAGGAAAATTTTACTCAGTAACTGAGTAAGTACACTTTCGCATATTTTGAGTCAAACTTGACACAGTCACTGAGTTATTCTCATTCGCGTGCAGATATTTGAGGAAATTTTTGGAAAATAGGCTCAGTCTATAGCGAACCCCACACGGTAAGAAATATTGTCAATACTTACAAGTATTGACAATAATATTGATGATGTGAATACAGAAATATTGTCAATACCGATGTATTGACGTCAATATAAAATGTATTGACAATACGATTATTGTCAATACAAACTGTCGTGTAGGGTTCACTTATGAGTGACTGGCGGTTTTGTGAATTGGAGTTTAAGGGACTCAAATTTGAGTTGAACGCAATTGGCGTTGACGGCGACTCTGTAGCTCTTTACTCCTATGAGAAAATCCATAAGCAAACGTCAGACTGTGCGTGAAACATGGCGGACTTTGTACTATCCTTTCACTCCACCGAAAATTTCTATAAGAAACTGTCTATATTTGCTGAAAGAGCAAATTTTTCGACGGTGCCGTCAACGCCAATGGTCGATTTACGGTGTAGCTACAGCCAACTAGAGTTGGGATGATATCCACCAATTCAGTGGTTAGGCGTTTCTTATGTTTATGCGGGATATGTACCAAACACTAACGAAGACTAATGCGAGGACTAATTGAGCAGGAACGGAGGCGATGGAGCACAAACAAATGACAGCGTCGATGGCAGTGCAGGTTGCAATGATTTTCATCCAAAATTAAGTTTAAAGTACCCAATTGTGAAAACATAACGGTTGAGTACTATTAACTGAAAATTGAGTGCTTTTTAACTTTAAATCGCAGCGTGTTTTAGTTAAACGAAATGCATCGATAAATATTTCAGGATATTCTTCGTAAATTACTTTACGCAATACAATTTACTAACATGTACATTTTAAACAACTACGGAAAGTACTAATTCAATCAATAATGACAAATACTACGTTTTGAGCTAAACGATGATTAACAGAAAATTAACTTAAATTTGAGTTCATCTATTATTACTCAATAGATGAGTAAATTTGACCCATCGCCACTTTTCTGATTCACTCAACGGTAGACCTTAAATGATAGAACCCAACGGTGAGTTTTTTTTTTAAACTTAATTGTGAGTATTTTTTTCTTACCGTGTATACCAGTGCTACACCGCACGTAACACAGAGAGAGATTTACTTTTACTCGGTAATGAGTAACTGTTATTCATCCATATGGATAAATTTCTAAAAGCGTAGGTAATTCCGAGGGGGCGACACGTCTAAATCTCAATTCTAGATGCTCAACAAATCTCACACTAGCGAATCCATCTTCGAAAAATCTTCTTTGATTTGTCGCATCTATTTGCATCGTGCATCATATTTTTGCAGGAAATCTTCAAAATCGTCAACAATCTTCTTCATATCTATTCAGCGTGCGCGCAGCTAACCACAGCAGCGTTGCCAGATATACCGATTTATCGGTATTTATATCGATTTTCAAACTAGATACCGATATACAGATAAGGTTCCCCAGAATAATGATTTTTAAGATTTTATACCGATTTATACCGTTTTTTTTAATAATCAAAATTATTATTGCCTGCCCGCGCTCGAATTTCGGAGAAAATTTTTGTGAGAGACTTGTATTTTTTTGAATACCTCATATTTTTTTAGCCTTCTAAATTCTAAACAATCATATCTAAAGATGCCTTATGCTTGATACTCTTTCCACTAATCTTCGCATTTCCTCACCGTTTTTGGCTACCCATCAATCGAGATATAGTCGATGGCTCTTTCCGGTAATTGCTGGGGAATCGAGAAATATTTTTTTAAACATTATTTAACTTCCGAAAGTTTTTATTTATTTTTAAACTTCATGAAGTTTCATCCAACTTTCCCTGGAATTTTCTTCCACCTTACTTTGAAAGCTTCTTCAGTATTCGCTCCAATGATTCTTTCATCTTCTCCCGCCAGTTTTTTTTTTTTATCTTTTCCGGAGCTTCAAGGATGTTATCAGATTTTTATTGCGGAACCACACTAGCTGCAGGCACATTTAAGAAATTCTGAAACAGCAGAAAAGTACAGACTTTTGTGTAAGTTTCGATAAATTAAAGACAGTTTTATTAACTTTTGTTAAAATTCGAAAACCCGGAAATTTCAAAAAAGTCCTGCGAACTCCAGTGAACTTAAGGAAACATCATAAAGATTTTGGAAACTTTACAAGTCCAAAGAACTTCAGGGAAATTTAATGGTTTTCAGGAACTTTTATGAAGCTCAGAGAACATCAGGACAGATCAATAAATTTCAATAAAGTTGCTGAAATTATAAAAAAAAGTTCCGAGAAACTCAGGCGATTTCCGAGAACTTCAACAATGTCCATGCAAATTTGGGAAACGTAAGGGAAGTGTACATTAGATCATTGTTAAATCATTTTATGGAAAGTTCTATCCTTTTTAATGGCAGTGTCGATTACTTTAAAAACTCGAGACTATCAGAGAACTTCAATGCTGATGTTACAATAAATTCAAAAAAAAAAAAATGTGAGAGCACTTAAGAGATTTCGTAATCTTCAATAAAGTCCAGAGAACTTCTAAGATGATTAGAGATATTCCGGCAGTCTTATTTTGATCAATTTATGGGAAGTTCCGAGCACTTCGATGATGACCAAAGAACTCCAAAACAGCCCATAATTTCAGGAAAATTACAAGAAATTTTAAGGAATTTCGAGGAATTATGGAATAGTCGTAAGTGCATTTCACGAATGTTCCGAAAACTTCAGGGAAATTTCAAAGTCTTCAGGAATGTTTTTTGAATATCAGGAAAATTTTCTGGATCATTAGAAAATCCCCCAGGAATCTCTTTCGTCCGGAATGATGTCCTTGTTTCTTTTGACTGTTCCGTATGCGCTCTGGCTTCCGACTTTCTTCAGATGTTTCTTCCAATCTACCTAAGGAAGTTTCTGCCAGCGTCTCCAGGAAGTTTATTTCGTCTTTTCAACAAAAATAATTCTCCCAGAAATTTCTTTCGTCTTCTTCTGGAAGTTTGACCAAAGGTTTTTTTTTTGTTCAACTTCTATTGGAAGGTTTTTCCGAGCTTCTTCTGGCTTTCCCTGGAAATGGCTACTTCTGGAAATTTACTTCCGGTTTTCGAAACTTTTCTGGCTTCCTTTGGACGTGATATCCGATTTTTTCCGATAGTTTATTTAAATTTTCGCCACAAGTTTCTCAATTCGTGTCTTGAAAGCTTCCCGGAGGTTTTTAAAGCTTTTCTCGAGCTTCATCCAGGAGAGCTTCTTTCGTTTTTCTCTGGATGTGTTTTTCAGCTCCATTCAGAAGCTAATTCAAACATTCCCCGGAGTTTTCTTCCGGAATTTTGCGATCATTGTTCAAAAGCTAAAATTTTGCTTTGATTAACGGCTTTCTCAGTCTTAAAACACTGCAACGACTACGATGTAATCTGTTCGACATTTCGGTCATAGGTTGTGGCTTTTTTTAAGGGAAAATATTGTTTTTCGTTATTGTCAATAGTTTAGTCGTTGTTGTGGCTGATTTTTCATATTTTGGTTTCATTTAATGATACACACTCAGCGACGTGTTTTAATGATAATCGGTAAATGAATAATATTACAGATTTTGCGGTATTTTTTTTTACCAACATTCGATAATTTTTTACCGAAATGACGGTAATCTCTAAGTGTGTTTTTAATTGAAAAAAAAAAAACACTGCTTGGTCACAATTTTGATCACCACTTGAGGACAACGATAATTTTAAAATTAAAATTAAAAAATAAAAGAGTGTTTTAAGACTGAGAAAGCTGTCAAACAAAGCCATTCCCCTCAAATTCCAGTCGTAACAAGCGTTAAAATTCTCGCTTTCGAAAACGGCAAAAATATAAAATTAAATAAATAGTTAATACCGATAAATACCGATTTTTTCAATACCTTTGATACCGATAAGCTTCAAAACAATCTGGCAATGCTGAACCACAGCAAAACACAATTTTCCCTGCATCGTAGATATAATCGCCCCCCTCGGGTAATTCAGAACATGAGTAAACTACACGGCGAATGATAACGACCCAAATTTTAGTTTAGTATACTCATAATCGCCAAAAGTGCAGGAACTCAGCGATTTGCGTCATGTTTTTCTGTGGAAACCCACACAAATCTACCGGAAAATAAGAAAAATTGACGAAAAT